AGCAGACATTGGCATCAGGGAGGGGTGGCAATGGAAATGGAACATTGGTTGCTGTAACGTAATATATGTCTGTGTAACAATTTACCCCAAAACTCAGCGGCCTAAAACAACACACAGCTATGATCTCAGTTTTTATGTGTCAGGAATCTGGGCACAGCTTAGCTGGGTGCTTCTGGCTCGGAGTCTCTCACGAAGCTCCAAACTGAAGGTTCAGCTGAGGGAGGCTTTGCTTCCAAGTACATTCATGTGGTTGTCAGCAGGATTTATTTCTTCACATGCTGTCAACTGAAGGCCTCAGCTACTTGATGCTGTGTTGGCCTCTCCATGGGCAGCCAGCTCCTTCAGCTAGCGAGGTGTTTGAGGTTGCTGTGAGCTAGGCTGACACCACGACATTCTAGCCCAGGCAACAGAGTGAGACTTTGTCTAAAAAAAAAGGGGGGGGGGCGGAAATCTTACCCTTAATCTCGACAGCTAGAAACCAGCACTGTTAACCTTTCAGTATATGTCCATCCAGTCTTTAGTATTACACATGCACTATTTTTTAGCCTAGTTGAGATTATATTGTGCATACCATTTTGTTTTCTGCTTTTCTTCCTCTCCATATACTGTCATTTTCCTTTCAAAACATCTCTTTTCAAGTCCTTTTATAGTGTTAGTGTTTTAGAGCCGGTAATGAGGGCCCCAGATTCATTTTAGAGAAGGGGCAGAGTAATAAAATCTTTGGAAAAGAAAAGCGTGGAAAAAAAGATGAAAAGAGGAAAGTATGGGTCTGTAATTACTAAGAAATGGCTTCCATTTGTTCATGAATGTGAAAATCTAGATTCCATTTTTTCCTTCTTCTATATCTCTATTGCATTTTGCTCTATTTCTATTTGGACAGTTTTGTTGGGGTCAGTAAGCGACTGTGTCTGGAGAACAGCAGGATATTCTGGAAATTTTCCTAGGAATCCAATTTTAGGAAAACCAAAAGTAGATTATAGCTGTTTTAAGCAACTAAAAAAAAATGATAGTGGGTCCTAGAGTATTAGAATGTTAGACTCAAAGTATAGGCATTATCTAGCCCAAATCTCTCATTTTACTGATGGAGCAATTGAGTCCAGAGAAGTTAAATGAATCCTATAGGTCACACAGCTATTGAAGGCAACTGGACTAAAATCTAGGTATCCTGATTCCTAGGCCACTGTTTTAGAAAACTTCCAAAACCCTTTAAAATCAATTACTTAATCCTTGTAAGAACTCAGTGAAGTATGTTAGTGTAATTTATTCTGACTTTAGAGCCATTTACTTGAAAAGTGATGAGATGTCTTTAAAACAAAACTGATTCTACCATAATTAAACATGTTTTTAATCACTCCAAAAAGAACAGACTATTAATTAGGCTTATCATCTTAGGAATTAGCTTTCAGTTTCTCATGCAACCAGTTTAAAGATCACCACTTCTCATCTGGCCTCTTAAATTCCTTTTATATTAGGCATAAAGCCTGTATTTTCTCAGTAAGATTAAGCAAATACATAGTCATAAGATTAGCTGCATCTCAGTGCTCCTCCAGTCGTCTCAGTAAATGAATGAATGGGGGAAGGGAAGTGTATCACCTCGGGACTTGCATAAATTATTATAATAGAACGCATCAATTTGCCTGTCAGTTTTCTTTCCAAATGACATCTTTAGGCTGCAATTCCTTATCTACTCTGTTTGCTATATAGAATAAGCAGGGGATGCCCAGTAGATTTCTTTATGTAATTTATTGTGATAATTATTCTCTGAATATGATCAAATGCTTTGCCAAAGCAGACTTTAATTAAGGTTTGCATAGAAGGCTCTTTAATCACTAAAGTAAATGAGTTGGAATTTTTTAGTTCAAAATTTCAATTGAAGTGGTTGTATTATAGATCTAGAGAGTAGGTGAGTTTGGAGTTCAGGGCTTTTTGTCTATCCTTTCTCAGATGTTCTTCCTTTTAGTAGTCATTGCTTTCATGCTGTCTGCTTGGCAGTCTACTAGAGCTTGTCCCTCCCAAAATGAATCTCTAGTTCCTGTCATCATTACCATTACAATGCCTATTCCCTCTACACCCAGGGCCGGGATCTCAGTGAGCAGGAGCAGAGGGATTATAGATAGAGCTGAAAGGAACCTTGCTTGGAAAGCATCTCATCTCATTTTATTGACAGGGAAACTTAGTCCTAGAGTGGCATGGTCACTTGCCCGAGGTTAATGGCAGGAGTGGAATTCAAATACCCTGAAGAATGATTTAACCTAGATGAGTTTTAGCTTCCCCCCTCTGTAAAATGGAAATCAAGATATTTACTCAGGTTACTATGAGGATCAAATATGACAAAATAAGTGAAAACACTTTGAAAACTGCAATTAGGTACAAGTATCTTAAAATTTTTTCTAGTAAGCTGTCTGCTTTTTTTATGTTAGGTGTTAATAAGTAATAAGTGCCAATATGTGACTCTTCCAAGTGGGATTCGCATTTTGAAAGAGGAGGTCCTGAGGACACATCTAACCCTAAAGGACATAAATGGATAGAGAAGCATTCTGGATGTCCCCCAAATCACTCCAGAGGGGATGAACTTAGCCATGTAGAGCCATATATTTTAAGAGTAAGAACAAAGTATACTTTCAGAGGCCAGAGAGCTAAGAACTTTGTAAGGAACCTGAAAAACTGCCCGCATACCAGTAGTAGTTCAAGCATCTAGGGTGGGGTTTGACTAAATTAACTTAAAAATCCCTTTTAACACTGAAGTTCTGTGATTGTGTGATTCCAACTGATTCATTTTTACAACACACAGTCCTGTTCCTGAGCTTTCTCTTCAGACCCAGAAATACCTATAGTACATTACAAATTGCTTATTGATCTTAAAAAAGAAAAAGAAAAAAGAACCCAACACACACATAAGCACATACTCACACACATGCACCCTTCAACAAGTTGGATTTTTTAAAAAGTTAAACTGAATATGAAAGAAAAGGACCATACCTTCTGGCCTTCAAACTGCCAACCTTGATGAAATCGGTTTGAATATCATTTAATGATACTCAGCAAGGGAAAAAATCCCAATCCCAGTTTCCCCCAACCCCTCATTTATTTGAATGAATATGGAGTCCAAAGCAATCTTTCTAATTAGCTGCCTCATGTCTGCGTGGCAAGATGAATAGAAACAGGATCATTACGCCCCCTACTCAGGAGCAGAGCATCCGCTGAAGGGATCAAATGTTACACATTTTTGTACCTCCAGTACTTGACGCCCAATGGGTGCTCATGACATATTTGTTCAATACATGAATAAGGTACATCAGTGTGTTGCAGGTCAGGTCTAAGAGAATAGGGAGAAGTTTATTCCAGACTTTGTATAAAAGGCATGGTAGTATTGGGGACCATGGCTCATTTGTGGAACAACAGGAAGTTCAGTTTACCTGCAGTAGAATGCTCTGTGTTGGAGGTGGAAGAGCTAGAAATGAGGCTGGGCAGGTAAGGTCAGATCTGCAAGGGTTTCACATGCTAAGCCATGGGTTTTAGATCATATCCTGAAAGCAACAGGGGTGAGGGGAGGGAGTAGAAAAGGATTGGAAGCTGGGGTGGGCTTTTGAGTTGGGATGCAGTGTCATGATTATATAGTGTTTTAGAGCCAACTCTGTCTTCTGGTGTAAAATGAACGAGGTCAGGAGTGTTGGGAGGCCAGTCAGAAGGGTGAAAGTCTACAGGCAAGGTAGCCAGTTAGCAGGCTCTCTGGTAGTTGTGTGAACAAAACCAGATGTGAGCAAGGACAATGTTAGCAAGCAAAGATGGAGGTGTGTTTAGGACAGAATGAGCTTGTGAAAAGGACTTGACAGAAGAGTGATATTAGCACCACACCCCTCCAATAAAAAGTGAAATTTACCAGGTAATCAAGTAGAAAGCAGAGTCCTGTGATAGCAGCTGCAGTGAGAAATACCTGGGGGTGAGTTGACAGTAAATCTAATAAGAATCAGCCTCATAATACGACAGTCAAGAAAGCGAATGTCACCTTAGGGAGCTGGAGCAGAAAAGTCAACTGTCTAGACAAGGGACGTGACTGTCCTGGTCTCCTCTGTGCAGAAGGGTCTGCACCTTGGCGTGGGGGTGGGATGGGAGGGATCGACTCCGTTCTTGCTTTCCACTTTCAAAAGATATAGAGGAAATGGCTTAAATTTAGAGAAAAGCCTTGAACCCAGGTCTTTGGAGCAACGGAGCCTGGAGGAACAGTGAGTCATAATTGTCTTCAAATTCTTAGACATGGGGAAGATGGGCAAGGCTGGCTTTGCGTGGCCTCAAAGGGGAGAAGTTACTAGGAGGCCAAAGACCCAAGAGGAGGTCGGCAGAGCCAGTGAGTCCTGGTCGCTGGAAGTTGTCCAGCCTACAAGGGCAGGGCCCTTGCACACGGGGCAAAAAACAAATAAACAAAGAAAAAAAAAAACTATGCGGGGATAGATCAGTTGACCTTCGAGGTTCTTTCTGACCAAGTGATGTGGAAGTTCTGGCCGAGCGCGTGGCCATTTCTCAGCAGTCCCACCTCAGGGATGAGGTGCACAACAGTACCTCTCTCTTTAGCTTTTTTATATTCGTTTATTCAGAGGAAATAAGTCGCGCGGGGATCGGTAAACCAGGTAGGTGGCAGCCTTTAAATCACTGTAACTTGGTGGGGGCCGCGGGTGGGCAGCCTGGCCAAAGCCTAAGGATCGTGAAGAGCAACTGCGCAAAGGGACAAACTTCGGCTCCAGCTTTGCCGCACAGGAGGGGCGGGGTTATTTGAAAGGTTCCCCAGGAGAAGGCCATTGGCCTCGGGGAAATCGAAGGGGCGGGACTAGTTCATTGTTGCCATTGGGCCTGCGGGCAAGTGAAGGGATGGCCGCGAGGGGGGCGGAGCCCGCGAGGGGAGGCAATTGGCTGGGCGAGAGCCCACCGCGGGGAGCGAGCGGGCGGGCAGGCGAGCCCGGAGCCCGGAGCCCGGAGCCGGGAGGCAGCCGCGGCGAGCTCGCCAGGGCCGCAGCGGGGCGAAGGGCGCACGGGGCGTTGGCACCCGGGCGCGCGCCTGCGTCGCCGACTTAGATGTGGCGAGGACGTTTCTGTGCCTGGTGCACTAGACGCGAGCCATTCAACAGCTGGCCTCGCGGGCAGCAGTCGCAGGGAGCAACTGGGAACATTGACGGTGGCGACTGCGGCTGTTGGAGGGAGGCGGCGGCGGCAGCAGCGGCTGTGGTGGTGGCGGTCCCGCTATCCCAGCGGAGCCCGGAGTGGAGACGCAACAGCTCCTGAGGCTCCCGGTAAATACCCTCCGCTCTGCTGGCAAAGGAGGCAGCCACGTCCCGCTGCGTCTCGGCCGGCTGGCCGCCCTGGCCTGCCGGAGCTGTGGGTGCATCGCAGACAGGGCCACACTGGACCCTCGGTGGGGATTGGGGAGGGGCTGCGCAGGAGACCTGGGTCGCCCCTCCTGCCCCAGCAGAGTGAGGTCTTCCAGAGATGCGCCTAAGCTCTTCCCCTGGTCCTCTCCCTCTACCCGACACCCTGCTGCGCTTCCTCCGGCCCTGGCGCCGCACTAGGGGGCGCTCTGGAGCCCACTCGAGGGCTCCCTCTGGCCTCTGTTCTGGCCGAGGTCACTCCAGACATTCCCCTGGAGTACGTTGGCACTGACATCCCACTAATGGGAACTGAAGGTACCCTCTCCCGCTCGATGGGCACTCCAAGGGTCCGGGTGCTTGGCTTCCCCCCTTGCTCTCGCAGCACTCATCCAATTAATCATTAGCAGGGCCCTACCGCCTCCGCCCCGGATGACCCCCATCCTTGGCTTCAGGGACCTCTCAAGAGACTCTGAGTCTCTGCTTGAGGTTTCCAGCGTGGGTGGAATAAGACCGTTTCAATCCGACCAGGAGAGCAGGGCTCACCCCCAAGGCTATCGGGATTCAGACTCCAGAGCTTGGGTTGGTGGGGCGGAGGGGCGAGGGGAAGAATCAAGTTTGGGAGACTCGAGTTGCAGGAGATGCGTGCCAAGCCCGTGCACACGCAGGAGAATCATAGTCTTGGTCCTTGGGACCCACGCCTTCTTTACATTTGATCTCTTGCTTTTTGTGATCTTGTTTAAAGCCGACCATTACGGGAGGACTTTCGAATGCTGCTGACTCTGAGGGGTGGCTTGTATTGCAATGGCTGGGTCCCAACACGGGGACGGGGAGGGGGCTGGTTATCCTTTGGGCCTTTTCATTTTCTTGGTGTCTTTTCTAGATTGGGACTATACTCTCAAAGATCATGGCCATTTTGCCCTATGTTTTCCTGCCTGCCTCTGATCTAACTTTGGAATCTCATGCTGTCGAAAGAGTATAAACTTATCCTTAGTCTTCATGCTGAGAAAACCATTCTTTGGAATAATATGTTGAGACCTCTCAAATTCTAGTGTTTTGTGTGTTTGTGTGTTTGTTTGCCTTTTAAGGCATGTGGAATTCCAGTAGTCACATTTTTCTGGGTTCTCTTTTGGTTTTTTTTTTTTTTTTTTTGGAGGGTGTCCCTCTCAAAGCATGGAGTAGCTTGAAGCATGGGATAACTTCCATGAGGGCATTTTTCCTTCAACTCTTGTTAAGCACAGAAAGCCGAGCGGTGGATCACTCAAGGTCAGGAAGTCTCCAGACCAGCCTGAGCAAGACAAGACCCGTCTTACTAAAAATAGAAAGAAATTAATTGGTCAACTAAAAATATATAGAAAACTTTAGCCGGCATGGGTGGCGCGCATCTGTAGTTCCAGCTACTCGGAGGCTGAGGCAGGAGGATCCTAGAGCCCGAAGTTTGAGGTGCTGTGAGCTAGCTGATGCATGGCACTCTAGCCGGGCAACAGAGTAAGACTCTGTCTCCAAAAAAAAAAAAGAAAGAAAGAAAGAAAGAAAGAAAGAAATTTATATCGAGACAAATTCTTATAGAAATCTATAGAGAACTCATTAGTACTTGTTAGATATTCCCCCTTTATGGGACTTGGTGTTTCTAATTTTTCTTGAAAGAGCATACCTTCCCAAAAATATCCCTGCTACTCCTCACTATCACCACTGTAAAATAGAGCACTAACATGAAAATCTTTGTGCCAATCTTTTTTTAAATATTTCTTCAAGAATATGTTTTATGGATTACATTTATCAAATTGGTCTCTGAAAGATTAAGTCATTTATCAGGCTATCAGCAGAATTAATGTCTGATTCCCTTGCAGTCCTGCACACATTGGATCATTACCATTTTTATTTCTGCTACCTTTATTACATATAATGGCAACTTAAAGCAGCTTTAATTGCATCATTTTATGTAGGCTGAAGCTCCAACCAACCTTATATTGATCTTCAACTGCCTATTCATGTCTCCAGGTGAATGATTCATGGACCTCTCAACCTAATAAGCGTGCACCAGAGTTTTTATTTCCATCCCCAAACTTGTCCTCCACAAAACTTGCCCCCTCCACCCAGTGAGTCCACTCCCTAAATAGACCCACCCTCCAGCCAGCGCACAGGCTTAACAACTAGGAGTTATTCCTCCTTCTCTCAGGTCCATCCTTCCAGAGTCCTTTTGACTCCACCATTATAACACATCCAAGCACATCTCCATTTCACTGCTACCCCCTAGCTCCCGCCACCATCATCTCTCACTTGGATTATTCAACAGCCTCCTAACTTGTCTCTCTTCTTCCATCCTTGCCCCCACACGAGTCTGACATCACAACAGCCAAATGACTTTTTTAAAAAAGCCAAAAACCCTCAAGCAATCATGTCACCTTTGTTCAAAACCTCCAGTGGTTTCCCATCGATTTGAATGAATTCAAACTGCTTAACCCCTTCACGAAATATAGTCTCTGCCACCTCTTTCAACTCACTTTGTATCTTCTCCCCTACTGCCCTCATTCTCATCCGTACATCTGGCCTTTGTCTGTCCCCTCAATGCATCAGTCCATCCCCTCAGGGCTCTGCATTTGTTGGTCTTCCTCTGCCCAAAGTGCTCCTCCCTGAGATTTTCTCATGGCTGGGCTCCTATCTCTCTGTCCAATTTGACTGATATGTCGGTCCTCAGAGAAGCCTTCCCTGACACACTCTCTGAAATAGCACTGCTCCATCCCTGGCACTTGGGAACATAATACCCATTTATTTCAACAAACATTGAAACCATCTAATCAGCATGTGTATTTGTTAACCTGTTTTTGTTATCCACAAAGGGAAGGACTTGCATCTGTCTGGTTCACCATTATTCCTCAGAACGCTAGAACAGTGCTGGCATATATAGACTAATAATGCTTAAATCGTTACCAAAACAGGATTTGCTCAACAACTACATTTAAAAGGTGTTACTTCATATTTGAAATACTATAATAGCACTAACAGATCACAGTGAAATGATAAATGCACACTGGGCTTTTCCTTCGAGACTCTAGAGCTATTACATTAATCAGTGAGCGTTCGAACTAATTTGAGTGTAACCTACAAGCACATGACTCCTTTAGGAGGCCTTGGGGTATCAGCAATGAGTCACTCTTCAAAGAACTGAGTCTAGCAAGAGAAATAAATAAGACAATTAACTTTTGAATCTAGGAATAATGGTGGAATGCTGTGGGAAGACATAGGGTATTTTTGGGCCACAGATAAGCAATAATGGTTTTAACATTCTTTAATCTTTAATATAGTTGTAGATTTCTGGGAATTTCCAGTTATTGTCAGATGGTATTATAAAAAAAGATAAAAAAAATAATAAAATAAAATACAATAAATAAATAAATAAATAAAAAAAATGAGAATTCTGGGAATATGCCCAGTGGTTTTTTTTTTTTTTATTTTTTGAGACAGAGCTCGGTTTTGTTCCAGGCTCAGATGATGCCGTGGCGTCAGCCTACTCACAGCAACCTTCAAACTCCTGGGCTCTAACCAATCTCCTGCCTCAGCCCTCCTAATGTGCTGGACTACAGTCATTTGCGCCACCCCATGCCCGGCTAATTTTCTATATATTTAGTTTATCAATTAATTTGTTTCTATTTATATAGAGACGTGTCTCTTGCTCTTGCTCAGGC